ATTTTGTTTAGGAGAACCTAGTACTTCCTGGTATATAAATATTAATCATTATATTAATGATTTACAATATTATATTATATAAATATATATATAGAGTAAATATAATAATAATAATAAATCAAAAGGCTTCAGGAAATAAATAGATAAATAAGGACATAAAAGTCCTTGAAAAGCTGTATAAAGTGGATATGTGCAAAACCAGGGTTCAGGACTCTCCTGTCTGGCGTATTTTGCTTGATTTAGAAGTTAAGCTGCAAAATAACAGGACTTTAAATTGCTGATCTCTCTAAGCCCTCCCTAAGCCATTTCCCTCCATTCAGAATATATTTAGCAGCGAGGATTTCAGCAAAACGAAATGTTTGGGACAAATTCATCCCTCCAGTGACCTCACTGGTTCCAAAAAAACGGGGCTTGTCACCCCTTTGGGATGGCTCACAGACACCAAACTGAAGAAATTAATCGAAATTTCTCCTTTGAAAAAGGTGCCTCAGGTGTTTCTTTTCCAACTACAAGCAGAGCCTTGGTGGGGAGGGCTGAGGGACTCACCTGATGTGGGCCTTGGGAAGCACACCAGGCTCACCCCAGGAGCAAGGCAGGGGGATTTATTGCAGGGATGGAATTGATGCATATTTGCAGGAGGCTAAATTTAGCAGCTGACATAAGTTTCAGAGGTGGAGTCTGTAGCCACGGTGCTGTTTCCCTATAAAGGCTGTGAGATCGTTTGCAGCAATCCTGCAGTGATGTAGCTGAGGGGAAAATATGTGGGATGGCTAAAAGTGGATTTTTTTTTTTTTTTAATAAATCCTGAATTTCTGCAATATGTGCTAAGCAGGTGCTGGAAAAATGGGGTAAATTTTGGTGTGTTTCTCCTTGTAGCTGTAAGGGTTTGGTGTTTTTTCTATAGAAAAATTAGAATTTGTGGCATATTTTGACAGGTTGTTTCAGTTGCAGCACTGTGGATAACATTTAAATTGTTTGTTAGGGTGGCTTTACTCATCTGAAGTGATGAAAATTAGTGGTTACAGCAGAACCAAAGAGCGCATGTAAAACCTGAGCTGTTTCTTCTGTTTGTTGGAGAATTCAGCCTAAAATTCCTGTAATTTCTTCATCACTTTGTGATCTAAACAGCTCATTAATCCCAGACAGGATCTGGGTGTTCTTTGGAGTGTTTCCATCCAGCTGTTTTAGGAAGCTGTGGTAAAAATTCCACAGGTTTTATTTCCACCTGAGTCCATCTTTAGCATCTTCCAGCACTGTCGAGCAAGGAATTTTCATCTCTGCAGGATCCACCCTTCCCAAGGCAGCTCTTGAGAGGATTAGGCTTCAATCAGATTTCTCAGGACAAATTTCACTTTTGTGCCCTCTGTGTGTCACTTTCTTTCCAGTTGGAGGCCAAAAATCTTCTTTGGTTCCCTTTCTGAGCTGGTGGGCAGTGCTGGGTGCTGCTGCCTTTATTCCTGCTTTCCAGCCCAGGCTAAAGCATCACTTGGTACATGATTAAAATATCAGTTTTATAAAATTTAATTCCCTCACCCAGTTCTGAGGCTCCTAATAAATTAAGGATGGGCAAGCAGGACTCTCAGCTCTATCACTGACTCATTCTGTGACCTTCAACACGTCATGTACGTACGTGGAAAATGTGAATCACAACCTAAACTCCCTAAACTCGGAGTTACCTTCAGCTCTACTCCAAAGCTGCTTTCGTTTTCTTCTCTTTTAGCTTTAAAGGGATTGTTTGAGGGAGCAGAGTGGTGTAATTGTGCTGGGCTGGTTTTCAGAAAGAAGCTGTTGATTAATTTAAGGTAATTGTTGTCATGGGCAAGGGTGCAGCCTTGCCGCTCCAATCTCTGTTTGTGTAATTTTTTTTATCAAGGTGTTGCTGAGTAGGTGAGAGAGGCTTTCCTGCTTGTTGGATCAGCAGTTACATTTAGTGTCAGAGGTTAATAAATGCAGGATAACATTTGTTTAATCTGTAGCGGCTGATGTTCCCATCAGCTGTGACAGTCAGACCAGGACAGATGTATCTGGGGGTTTTTAACGCCAGCTATCACTCACAGGGGGTAATTCATGCTACATGGGGGAAGAGCAGGGCTCTCAGCTCAGCTCATCACGACACATATTCCTCCAAATTCTGAAGGATTAGAAGAGAAATCAGAAGGGTGATGCTCCCCTAAAACATCACCCCACCCCTTAAGCATCAAACTGCATGCAAATGAATGTGCAAATGTCGGCCCAAGCGGATGAGGAAGCTCGAGGAGTTTTGGTTTTGGCCATGTATGGTAATACCGAGGGCTGTGGGCTCTGCTCGGGTGTTCTCACCCGCCCCTCAGGCTCCCTGAGGCCGCGATGGCCCCGAGTGTGGCGGTGTCACCTGTGTGCAGCCAGGTGTGTGTGCAAAGTGCTTGTCCGACCTGTCACGACAGATACACACAGATACAAACCTTACACCTTGAAGCGCAGCATCCCCAAATTGCCACAGTACAATGGGGAGAACCTCTGGTCTCAAACCTCTGCCATGAGTGTCTTGTTGGAGTGTGGTTCTTTGCTGGGATCAAGCTCTGCAATCTTTAGCAGGAGCTTTTGTCACTGTCCTTTTTTCACCACAGCCACTGTGATTTGGTGTGACAGCGTGAGGTGACGCAGTTGCTTTCTTCTGGAGCTCCTGGTTCTCCTCAGCTTTGCCTCTGAGGACAGCAGGCTCATCTCACCCCTCAGGGCGAACATGGCCGATCCTTCAGGGAAGACACGATCAGTCCCCTCAGGGAGAGCAAGATCGGTCCCTCAGGGGGGACACGATCAGTGGAGGACGTGACCAATCCCACAGGGATGTCATGATCGGTCCCTCAGGGAGGACATAACCGTTCCCTCAGAGAGGACATGACTGCTCCCCTCAGGGAGGACACAATCGGTCCCTCAGGGATGAGGCGATCCGGGCCTCAGGGATGACATGATGGATCCCTCAGGGCAGACACGGCCGATCCCTCAGGGATGAGATGATTGATCCCCAGGGATGACATGACGGATCCCTCGGAGCGGACAGGACTGGTTCACAGGGAGGGCATGGCCGGTCCCCAGGGCGGACACGATCGACCCCTCAGGTCCCTCATGACCTCCCGCCACCACTCCCCGCTGAGAGGCGGCGGGGCGG